TTGGGGGGGGGGCGGGTTCTGAGACAGGGTCTCTCACTACGTAGCCCTGCCTGGCCTGGAGCTTGCTATGTAGACCAGGCTGGTCTCAAATTCAATGAGGATTAAAGGCATGTGCCACCACATCTGGTCACGAAGTTATGTTTTAAAGGGCAGGAGAGAGCGCTTAACAGCTTAGAGCACTGGTTTGTTTCCAGCACCTACATGATGGCTCACAACCATCTGTCAATCTAATTCCAAGGGATCTCTCACCCGCTTCTGGCCCACAGGCATGCACATACGTACATGCAGGCAAACACACCTACACAGAAAAAGAAATAAGTGAATCTAAAGGAGAATTTTTTGCTTTTAAAAAAAATGTATTTTTTAATGGCCATTACGGAACCTGTGCAGGTATTAGAGTTTCAATCTTTAGCCTTTTAAAGAGGACCCTTTCCTAGAAGCCATTCCAGCAGAATTCTATCTGGCCTTGTTAGAAGCATGATCGGGTTTCCCTGGCAGACGCCATGGTTTAAATGTTCTCGGGGCGTCTGTGGCTCTACCCATGTCCTGTGTCTCTTTTTCTGATGACCAGTGGCTTGCCAACTGTAAGGCAACATTCGCAGGCGGCTCGAGAGATGGAGTGATCACCTGCCAGCCCGGGGACTCGGAAGAAAAGGTAATGAACTCCTGGAGAGGCCACGTCTCTCCTGTGGTCTGGCTCTGTGCGGGTTTGATCCTCACAGGCAGCAGGGAATTGGGAGAGAGGAAGAGGTGGAAGGAGCCATCTTCCACACTCACGTGAACCCGACAGAGGAAGGCATGCATTCATACCGTGCACGGCTGTGTGTTGGCACTGGGGGACTTCCGTTTTCTCCTTTCTGGAAAAATAGAGACATAAAATTAACCTTCCTGCCAGGTGCTGTTTTAACCATGCTAATCACTTCCTAATAAGCCTGTTCTTAATCCAGAATATAAAATCACTTGCTGGACTGCTCAGTTCCTCCCTGAACCGTCAAGGAAAGGAAATGTGTCTGTCGTTTTCTTACCAAACACTGCAAAACAGAGTTTCCCATTTCGAACCGCCTAAGTGCATGCCATACGCCAGCAGCTGATTACATCTTGTTATATTATGAAGGAAGTCCGGGAGACGAGTGAGATAAAACTATTCACTCTGCAGTTAGGTGTGAAGGGCCTCCTGTTCGGTTCCTAGGGTTCCCACCAAGACTCTGCCCTCCTGACGTTGTCAGGGAGATAGCTATCAATCAAGACATCGTGGGGCATAGCCTGTGCTAAGTGGCTTTAAGAACAGAAAAGAAAAAAACAAAGTGTGCATGAGCACACACAGCAGGGAGCTCTGGAAAAGCTTCTTGGTTGGTGTAGGAGGCAGAAAGAGATCTCAAATGTGAAGCAGAGGTAACTGGGGAAGGGGGTAAGGCTTGTGTAAAGGTCCTGGGGCAGAAGGGAGCATGATGTTCTAAGAACTGAAGAGAGGCTGTAGGATCAGAGTGCAGACCTAAAGGCCAGCCCGAGGAGCTTCTGCAGACCTTGGCAGAAGTCTGGCTGGGAGGGCCAGCCGCTCCACAGCGATGGTGTAAACAACCAGCAGGGCTAAGTGTCGCCATGCGGCGTGTACCATACGGACAAGCTCAGGAAGGCAAGAGGGCACAAGGGAAGGGGAGCCAGGAGGGCACTACCCAGTCCGTGTGGAGGAAGTGTCACCTTGGCATTGGTTGTTACTGAGAAGACATTTCCTGTCACACACCCTCCTGTGAAAGAAAACAGGCTTTAGCTGGGCCTGGCGGCGCACGCCTTGAATCCCAGCACTCGGGAGGCAGAGGCAGGCGGATCTCTGTGAGTTCGAGGCCAGCCTGGCCTACAAAGCAAGTTCCAGGACAGCCAGAACTGTTAAAACAGAGAAAGCCTGTCTCAAAAAAAATAAATAAATAAACCAACACCAGGCTTTATTAATATATAAAGAGTCCAGTAAGGTTTGGGGTAAAATTTTTCAACCTAACACCAGTAATTCAAGACCAATTTGGTCACCATCACCAAGCAAGTTTACAATGCTAAGAACTACACTCGCCACTGCCCTGTTCCTCCATAGCCCCAGGAGAAGTGAACAAGGATTGGAAAAATAGCATCTGTAAGGCTGAGAAATATCTAGACAGGGTTACTGAAGGCAGTTTCTGCTCTTTTTGAAAACACATTTGTATTTCACTCTGTAGTTTCTAGACTTCTGTTTTGTTTTTTGAGACAGGTTTCTCTGTGTAGCCCTGGTTGTCCTGGAACTCACTCTATAGACCAGGCTGGCCTTGAACTCACAGAGGTCCACCTGCCTCTGCCTCCCGAGGGCTAGGAGTAAAGGTGTCTGCCACCACCGCCCACAGTCATCCTAGGGTCCCCCTTGCTATGTAGCCTCCCTGGATGTGTGGGTTGCAGCCTGATTATCCTTTGCTTTATATCTAGTATCCACTTATGAGTGAGTTCACCTTCCATCTTGTCCTATCACCGAGAGAAGTCAAGGCAGGAACCTGGAGGCAGGAACCGAAGCAGAGACATGCGGAATGCTGCTGACTGGCTTGCTCCACCTGCCCTTCTCATACAACCCAGGACCAACCACCCTCTTAGGGATGGCACCACTCACAGAGAGCTGGGCCCTCACACATCAATCAAGGATATATTCCCTTCAGACATATCCACCGGCCAATCAGTTGTAGGCAGTTCCGCAATTGAGGGTTTCCTCCTTTCAGGTAACTCTGGTTTGTGTCAAGTTGAAAATCAAAAACACTAACCAGCACAGTGACATCCCTCTGAAATAAGGAATTTTCCATTGTGCATTTGAGAGAAGCTCAGTGGCAAGCTGTAAACGCCATATTCCATCTCTCCAAGTTGTCTGTAGCCTACTCTTAGAGGCAAAACACACACAGAGAAAACAAACAAACAAACAAACAAAAACCGGAGAGTGACTCCCAGCATATATTGAAATGTGTAAGGTGTTTTTTCAGGAATCTGCAGAAGTAGTGAAGCTACACGCAATACCTAGAAGTCTTCTGTGGGGTTCAGAAAAAAAAGTGGGGGGAAAGCAGCATCTAGTCTGATGCCGTCAACCTGCTAGTAAAACCAACCAGGTCTTCCCCCAGCTAGCACTAGTTTGGAGTTTCAGATTTCCTGCCGGTTCATGGACACAGTGGTCACCAGGGAACTTGGGCAGCAGCCAGCTGTCATGGGAAGATGCTTTTAATCTCATGGATGTAATAATTTTGGAGTCTTAGGCCAGTTAACAGTTTGGGCTTCCTGGTGCTTGTATTAACAATTCTCTAGGGTAAGGTACAGCACCTGCTAAATAGCGCAGAAAACAGGGTGAGCAGTTTGCTTTTGTCTTACAAGATCATTCCTGTTCACATGCACATACTGTTGGGGAGTTTTTTCCTTCACCTGTCAAGACAGAAAATCCTTTTCACAGTTTGCAATCTGCACTTACTAAATAAAGACTGCTTCCCACTGGCCCCTTGTTCTGGAGTGGCTCCCCCTGGTGATTGAAGTTCACATAAACTTAGGTCAGGAAGCCAAGTCAGCCAGCTCTGATCTCTGCAGGCTGTATTTTCAGCCTCCAACCTGTAAAGCAGTTAATACAGCTCCTCTCTCCAGTTCTGCAGAAGTGCTCCGCCCCCCAGGAAAGCTGAAGATGCCTCGTTTGTTCGAATTTGTTTTGGTTGACATACTCACATTCAGAATGTATTTCTGACTCTGGATTCGAGCACAGTGATTTAGATTCAGCACACATGTGTTTCACCTTTCTGCAAAAACACCCTGTGGGCTGTTTTTCCTGGCCCTGTACAGTACAGGAATGAGAGGAGCCCTGTCCCCCTACCACCATGAGCTTACACAAGCTGAGCAAGTTAAATGTTGGACCAGACTGTTTGCCAGTCAGTTGAAACCCTCTAAACTCAGCCTCAGACATGGTCCATCTGTCTGTCTTCCAAAACCAATCTTCTCTCCCATACTGGCTAAAGATGTGTCTGCTAGGATTTGTTACAGTTTGTTTGGTTTGGGTGTTTTTGAGACAGGGTTTCTCTGTATAGCCCTGGCTGTCCTTGAACTCAGAGATCTGCCTACCTCTGCCTCCTGAGTGCAGGCATTAAATGGACCACCACCCCTTGACTATTTACAGTTTTCTGAAAAATAGTAAAAACCTGAGGGTGTGTTACCTGTATCACAGGCTTTCGGGTTTCTGGCTTTAAGGATATTCATGAACATGGTCCAAAAGCAATTTTTTTTTTCAACAAACAAAATATGGTGGTTGTCAACTGGAGATGTAGCTTGTTGGCAGAGACTGCCTAGCATGTGCAAGGCCTTAAGTTCAATCCCCAGCACTTCACAAAGAAAAAACAGTGGGAGAGAGGGAGGCAGAAAGAGTGGTAGCCATCACTGTCCCAAACCCAAATAGTGTTACGAGGTGAGTGAGTGACGGTCCTCCCTGCTTAAATGGAATGCGCTCTCACGCTATAAAGACACTCATCAGTAGCGAGGTTACCTTCTACACAGAATCTAAACTTTATACATGTGACTTTCAACCACTGGGTATGAGAGAGTAAGCCAGGAAGAGTTGTGTACGCCTGTAATTCCATCACTCGGGGTCCAGAGGCAGGGGCACTAAAATCTCAAGTCCAAGGCCGACTTCAGACTTTCAGCAATCCTCCTGCCTCAGCCTCCCAGAATGATGGGCTTACAGGCATATACCACTATAAGTCTGCAGTTTTCAGACTTCCTGCTCCTCGGTTGTTCAGGGTTGGTTCTTGGAGTCTGCTTCCTGTCCCTCCTCCTCCGCTAGGACCCAACCCACCCCCACCTAGCCAGTCCAGATAACACATTTCTAAGACAAGCTTACATCAAAAGACTTAAGGAAAATTTCTAAAATCCTTGGGACCACAAAAGGCAATGACATTCCCACAGCCATGGTCAAAAGAATCTTAAATTGCCCGAGACAAACAGGTACATTTACTTTGTTTTTTGTTCTTGTTTTTTGTTTGTTTGTTTGTTTCCTAAGATGGTTTCTCTGTGTAGCCCTAGCTGTCCTGGAACCGGACAGGCTATAGACCAGGCTGGCCTCAAATTAGAGGTCTGCCTGCCTCTGTCTCCCAAGTGCTGAGATTAAAGGTGCAAAGACTTGTAGTGGGATTGTTGTTTAAAACCTGGCTATAAAGAAAACCCAAGGGGTTGGGTGTTTAGCTCAGTGGTAGAGCGCTTGCCTAGCAAGCGCAAGGCCCTGGGTTCGATCCTCAGCTCCAAAAAAAAAAAAAAAAAAAAAAAGAAAGAAAGAAAAAGAAAAAGAAAAAAGAAAATCCAAGCCCCAAATGAAAGCAAGCATTATCATTTCCCACAAGACAGCCCCTTAGAAAGGCAGTTATACTCTTTTGAAAACCCTAAATACAAATAAGGTTCTGGTCTGTGGCCTAGCGAAGGAATTCCAGATGACAAAAGCCAAGGAAGCTGCCCCCAGGCCACCTAAAAAGGAGCCCTCAGGAGGAACATCAGTTACTAGTCTCATCAAAGTTGGCCATCACCCAAGAAACACACAATTGTGCCCTAAGAGCTGAGTGGGAGGAATTCGGTGACATTCCTCAGGAACAAGCCCGAGCTAGCAAAGAAAGTTCATTTGCCTCTACTGACCAGAGACAACTTCACTGTCTTGATGAGGTCCTTGGATTGTGGCCTTGTTCTGTAAATGAGAACAGTATTGATCTTCACTTAGGACTATATCATTTACCCAGCACTTACATCAACTCAGGACAGAAAAATAAAGTCCAGGTCAGCAGCACTGCCCTTCTTCTGTGCTTACTAAATAAACATTATGTTCCTATCTGATAAATTCCCAGTAGTCTTCGCTGCTGGCCCTGTGCAGGGCTGGAGAGATGGCTCAGTGGTTAAGAGTATTGGCTGCTTATGCAGAAGATCTGAGTTCAGCTCTCAGCATCCATATCAGGTGGCTGACCTGTAACCCCAGCTCCAGGGGATCCAATGCCTCTGGCCTCCACAAGCATGTGCCCGTGTATGCGTGCGCGCGCGCACACACAAAATATTAAAAGTAATTTTTAAAGACTGGCCCTGTGACTAGGTGGTGGTGGTGCACACCTTTAGTCCCAGAACTCAGCAAGCCGATCTCTAATTTGAGACCAGCCTGGTCTACTGAGTGAATTCCAGGACACCCAGGGCTCCACAGAGAAACCCTGTCTCAAAAACCCAAAAATAAAAAATAAAAAACAAACCTGTTCTTGTGTGCCTAAGCTGAGAGTTTACTATGTGTTAGCACCTAGTAACAAAGCTTGCAGACATCTAGAGACTTGTGAGTGCCTCAGCCTTCCAATGTACAACACAGACTTTAAGGAATTTCCCTTTCAAAGCTTTGAGAGAGAAACATGACCAGGATCCCAGAAAAAGTTTCTCATTAAATTTACAGTGACCACACACATCACTCTCGTGTGATATTGACAGCGGGTGAGAGACAAGGGGGCCAGGAACCAGAGGCGGGGTCTGAGTGGGTGAGAGACAGGGGGACCAGGAACCAGTGGCGGGGGTCTGAGTGCGGGTGAGA